TATCTAAGGTATCTTAAACCAAAAGTGTGATATTTGTATATATATACTATTGAAAAGATTCAATTGGGCCGATCGGTTATTGAAACTTGGAAAGTAATTTACCCAAAATATTTAAAATCCCCACCATCCAAAATTACCCTCCTGCACCCTAAATTCGTCTGGTACGTATCCTCCTCCAAAAATTACCGTCAGTTTACCCTCTCCACATACGTTGCAACATCACCTACACAGACAGCGACCACTAGCAATTCTTCATCACCGGCGACCGTTGTCAACTCCCCCTTCAATGCCGGTGACCATCTGTAACACCCCGTTATTTTCTATCTTGTACAGCCATTCAATTCAATCAAAAGTCAGACTTGTTTCTGCTATCTTTTAGCACTGTTAAGGGTCTGTTTGAGAGTTTATGAGCCTAGTGTAATGTATGAATGGATGCTAGGATGAGTTAGCTTGTGATCAGGAGGACTAAATCGAACCAGAAAACCACTCACAAGGTGTTCACGGCCGCAATCTGAGTTCATGGTCGTATCTACTTTGATGTTTGAATATGTAATGTTTAAACACTTATGTAAAACTTATACTTATTAATCTAATGGTTGTTTGTACTTTGATTACTATAATGCATGTGTTGTGATACTTACATGACGTCCTCCGCCCCCGAACGTTTCCGTCGTTCCGGTTTGGGGGTGTGACACCATCAGTCAAACTCAGCCGTCAATCGGCAATAAACTCTCCATAACCGGTGACCACCAGTCAAACCTCCGCCACCACCTTCACAGTCGTCGACCGCCAGGTAATTTGTTTCTTTTAGTCGGCCGTTTTGAATTGTTTGTTCTGATTTTACTTGTAACGACCCAAAACATTTATTTTCAAATCAACATTCATTACTTCATTGTTTTCCTTTTTAAAACATCAGAGGGTCCCAAACACATCAAAAGAGAGATAGAGTGCACGCCACGTCATCACGCCTTGCCCTTGCCCTTAGGCTCAGAAGTACCTGAAACAAATCAACAACCTATAAGCGAAATGCTTAGTGAGTTTCCCAGAGCATACCACACACATTCGCATACATATATCCTGATAGCTAAAAATAAGCTATAAACATGCCACAGAAACTATGTAATACAATTCAACAAGAGTGCCATGGGCTACCCCACATGGTCTTTACCTAGGACCGCCATGGGCTACCCCACATGGTCTTACATCCAATGCCATGGGCTACCCCACATGGTCTTTACCTAGGACTGCCATGGGCTACCCCACATGGTCTTATATCCAATGCCACGGGCTCCCCCCGGGGTCTTCCATACCAACATAATATCACACAACATATTAATTCATAAATGAATAACATACACATAACATGATCACATAATGGGCCGGCCTTGGTGCCGTAGACCCATAGGTATGGTGAGAAGACTCACCTCCGTCCAATGAATACAATTACTGCCCTCCCAATAATCCGCAACCTACCAAGCTGAATAATAACAATAATATATAATCAATGATAAGACCTTAAATTACCCAAGGAAAGGCCCAACCTTCAAACCCTACCCCCAAGGCCCAATTACCCCTTTCTTGCAAATTGGACCCCAAAATCCAAGTCCAATATCCTTAATGGGCCCCTTGGCCCAATAAGGCCCAACCAAAAAGTCCTTGGCCCAAACAGATGAAAAGGCCTCAATCTTACAGAGTCCAAACAAGCTCATCAGCCAAATGAGGCCCAAAGGCCCAAAACAGATTAGGGCCCATCTGAGCTGTGTACGCCCAGCGTACCTCCCTGGTACGCGCAGCATACTGATGGTCTAGCGACTACGCGCTGCGTACAGACAGTTACGCCCAGCGTACAATCGTATTAAGCACTTTTCCCATTAAGTGCTTAATGCTCGAATCTCTCACGTCCAAAAGCTAGATCTAAGATTGAAAAGATGTCCCAAGGCATAAAGTTGGCAACTTTATGCCCTTGCATGTCTCATACACTCCCAACCACCCCATTAAGACCTTTTCAAGGTCTTTTACCCAAGCATGAGGTCACAACTCTCATCAAGCTTCCATTTTTACACTTCTAAATGACCAGGGGACCTCAGATCTGACTTTCATATCAAAAGGGAAGGCTTAACTCAACAAAAGAGGTCCAAAGTTCATAAAAGGGACAAACCACCAAAACCCTAGCTAGATCTAAAGATTAGAAAGGAAAGATGCAAGCTTTTTACCTCTAGAAGCTTTGCAAGATGCTTTTGGTGCAGGATCTTGAAGCACCCTCTTGATCCAAGCTTGCTTGACCACCCCTTCTTCTTGAAATACACACAAAAAGGCCACAAATGCACTCTTTAAGGCCTAAGAATGATCTCACAAGGTTTCCACGAGTATATGGACATTCTAGGGCTGTGGAGGCTCTCTAGGGTTTAGTCCAAGGAACTTAAAGTTGTTTAAATAGGCCTTAAGTCCGGAAAAATTAGGGTTTGCGTCCCTGGCGCGTACGCCCCGCGTAACTCAAGGTACGCCCGGCGTACCCTGAATTCCCCGCGACCATTTTTATGCGGTACGCTAAGCGTACACTTAAGTACGCCCAGCGTACTTAAGGGACCAATTATGCAAACTTATCATTTCTTAGGGTTTCAGGACATACCAGAATTTTGGATGTTACATTACTACGTGACCACGCTACCATCGTCACTCTTCTTCATACTATCTGTTTACAACTAAATACCCAATTGTACAAAACCTCAATCCAATTCATCTCTACGTACTTCTAAATTCTATGTTGTAATAAGTTATATGTGATTTTTTCTTAAAGTTTTGTTCAATAATATCTATAGTTTTTGTTAATACAATCCACGATAAGCATCATAAAGTGAAGAAAGATGAAATATGGCATCCCTAGTCTAAAAATTGAGAGAAAACTAATGATAACAAAAACAATTTGCAATAAAAATAAGTAAAAATAAATGTGATAAGATTATATTAATTGCCGATAGTTTGTATTCAAACTTGGAAAACAAGTATGAAGACCCTTATTAATTAAAGAAAAAAACAACACTTAATATTCCACAGAACCATACACATAACCATACACATGAGCATCATAAAGTGAAGAAAGATGAAATATGGCATCCCTAGTCTAAAAATTGAGAGAAAACTAATGATAACAAAAACAATTTGCAATAAAAATAAGTAAAAATAAATGTGATAAGATTATATTAATTGCCGATAGTTTGTATTCAAACTTGGAAAACAAGTATGAAGACCCTTATTAATTAAAGAAAAAAACAACACTTAATATTCCACAGAACCATACACATGAGCATCATAAAGTGAAGAAAGATGAAATATGGCATCCCTAGTCTAAAAATTGAGAGAAACTAATGATAACAAAAACAATTTGTAATAAAAATAAGTAAAAATAAATGTGATAAGATTATATTAATTGTCAATAGTTTGTACTCAAACTTGGAAAACAAGTATGAAGACCCTTATTAAATAAAGAAAAAAACAACACTTAATATTCCACAAAACCATACACATGAGCTTAATGATACAATCATGAATCATATACCAAGGGACTCAAGTAAATATCTAAGTTCATATTTGGTTTGCATATCTCAAACCGGAGAAAAGAAAGACGATAGATATGGTGTATACTAGGGGTGTGCATAAATCTATGTATTTTAATTACTGTTATTATGGTATTAATTAATTCCTAATAATATTGTTTTTGAAAACCACACCTATAATTATAGATCTTCATAAAAGTTACACTATTAGTCAGACATATAAGTTCTATAGTGGATATTGCATTGTCAAATCAATAAACAGAGATATAAAAACTCTATGCAAAATGTTTCATGAAACTTAATTTTCCATATGTAAATCATAATGAAATGAGAGAATGTCATTTTGTAATTACGAATTTAAGATTAATAATATGTTACACGTGTTATGTATAAGTTATATATCGTTGTCTCGAATTTGATTTGTAAATATATTAGGCTGTAGGGGAGTTTGTCAAACCGTAAAACCGCGCAAAACCACCCGCATCAAACCGCACTGCACAACGCAGTTTACAGCTTTCGCGGTGCGGTTTCCGATAAACTCAAACCGCATATGTGGTGCGGTTTGTGGTTTTGGGTATAAACTGCACCAAACCGCACCGCGCACACCCCTACATTGTTGAACTCATTACATTTCAATGATTCACATACTGAACATGAACTCCAAAATTTAATAATATTTTAATATGCACTGGGTTTTTCAGTTTGACTAGACCGGTTTTGACCGGTTTTTTGTTGAACTGTCGGGATGAATTATAACTAATTGTTACTATTGTTCTTTTCTGTTTTGTTTTAATTATATGGATCCGTTATTAACAATAGACTATGTTTAATATAAAAAAGTAAACATGAGATTGATTAAAGAACAATGAATTTTTTTTTACACATTATAATGATATGCAGGTAACATGTTAAAAAATATGAATATTTAATTATTTAAGCAAAATCTTGTTATTTTGAAAAACATTTTACTAAACTAACCTGATATTTGTAGTGAATCTGAGTTCTAGAGTAACCTGCCCACCCAAAAATGGAAAGTATAGAACGGAGTAAGAGAAGCGCCACATTGATAAGGGAACAAACTAAAGCAAAATTAGCAACATTGCATGTTGATTTTGATTTTGATAATTATAATCGAGCTATTGGAGAGTATCAACCAAAATTTGCAAGTTATTGTGGAGTCGCAGGCAGGAGTAGGATTTCTATACTTAAAGAGAGTTGGGATAAAGTATCTAAGTCAAAGCTCCATGACTTGTGGTTGGACATTAAGGTATGATATTTATTACTTGCTAAATGTTCTTTAATTAATAACTGTTACTCATAGTTACTATACTTTATTTAAAAAAACAAAATTATTGGAATATACCAAATGATGCTCCCAAAAAACAAACACTTAAAGTATGTAACAAGTCATGGAGGGGTTACAACTCGACGTTTGTTACTGATTTCATGGACAATGATCTTGATGCATCAAGTTTTTATCCGTACCTAACCAAAGAAGCATGGGAAGATTTTGTTAAGCTAAAACCACTGAAGAATTCCAGGTTTTTTGGGCTTCGGTACCTATTTATGATGTTTTTTATACAATACATATTCTAATTGCATTTATATGTGTGAAGGAAAAAAGGAAAAAAAGGGAAGGAGACTGTGAAGAAGAACAAAAATCCAGCTCACTTAGGCCCATTGGGGTATCGTGGGAACAAAGCTCGGTGGGATAAAGATATCGACTTAGGTGCGTAAATAAAAGGACGCCATATATCAAGCGAGCAGGCAAGAGATTTTATCTATGCTAGGACAAAATGCACTCCCTCAGGGGATTACATTGTAGTGCCTGAGAGTGAGCAATTAGCGGATGAGTTTGTAAGTGTGCTTTTTTTTCTTCATCTCCATATACCATTTGTTTAATAAGTAAATGTTAATACAATCCTTTTGTTTGCATTTACAGATATCAAAAGATAAAACAGGAGTTGATTTGATGGCAAATGTTTTAGGAGAAGAGCACCATGGTCGCACGAGGGCGGTGGGTTATAATGTCACTCTAAAAGAATCAAGGAATAACCAGAGAAAGAGGAAACAACAAGAGTTACCAGATTTGGAGGATTTGGTGACAAGGCTAGAGGAGAGTTTGTTTAATAAGTTATATGAGAAGTTATATGATAAGCTGATGACTGATATGGTGCCTGATATGATGGCTAAGGTGGTAGATACTGTCGGGGACATGGTCGATTCTATGGTGGCTACTAGTGTGAATCATGGCATGATGCAACTTGATGATACTCGTAGGAATGAAGCAGTAAAAGTTAGAAGCCCGAACTTGAAGAAACATAGTGTTGGATCTACAATGATGGATGTATTAGATAATATAAAGGTATACATTGTTTCTTCATATAGAATACATTTAAACACACATAAACAAACTAATTAAGTACATGTTATATATATATATATATATATATATATATATATATATATATATATGTGTGTGTGTGTGTTTGTAGGCTCCCATTGAATGTGAGTTGCTGCTACCATCAGATACAAAGCATCATACAGTTGCCGAAGGGAAAGTCTACCCATCGGAGAATGGGATGTTACATGGGATATTGCTCAATGAACATCATGTGAAGGTATCTGTATGAAAGATCTATGATGGTTATAAGTTGTTCCCTCTTCCTGTACCGACTGAAGAAACATGTACTTTGGGGAATGCATTGTATGGCTTTACTCAATGGCCACGAAATTCAATTTCTCTAGTTAAGGTAAAATATAAATTTCCTTTATTTTTTAATATTATAGTCATATCTAATTAAATCAATATGTAACCATTTCTAAACTTCCCAGCCCACTCCATATGTGCAAAAAGATCAAAGACCTTCCCACACATCGACAACGGTACCAACACCGACACCATCATCAACACAGGTTAATATTTCTCATTATCCTGGTGATGAAGTAGTAGCTTAAACTTATTTTTAGTCCTTAAAACTTTTAGCTGATCAAATGGCTTTTTAATGTAGATACACCAAAAAAGAAAGTACGAGGAGACCAACAGTTTGCCCCTTGCAAAGAAAATACGACAATTTGTAATGCCAAAAGAACTAAATGGCAGGCCGAAGATCAAGTTACTGTATAAAAATTTTATGAGTCGCAAAATTGAATATCCAATTCATGTGAGAAGTGAGCCAGGGATCTTTGGAGTTGGGAGGACTGAGGTTCTAATCTATTCGGACGTGATTAAAGAGCTTATGACGAATAAGCAACTCGATATTGATTCAATTTTTTGCTTTCAGATGTGAGTATGTTAACATTTAAATATCTAATATTTCATAGTAGTTTACCTTTATATATATATATATATATATATATATATATATATATATATATATATATATATATATATATATATATATATATATATATATAGGATGCTACATTCAATGTTTCAACACGATAATAAATGTGTCTTCATGTGGAACAGATGAGGAATTCGGAACAAATATTGTTGTAAATGAGTTAGTTGATGCGATGAACTTTCATCAAGAAAAAGATATTTTTCTAGCACCGTATTTGCAAGGGTATGATATTCTAGAAAATGTTATATGGCTTATATGTTTGTCAATAATTGTTGCTGATATGTTTAAACTTTACTAGGTTACACTACATACTATTTGTAATCTGCCCTCGTCAACATGCGTGCTACATTTTGGATTCATGTCAAGGTATGAAGACATTTGAATACTATGATATCGTAACACATATCGAAAAGTAAGAAGTTTCTTATTTTTGTATTTTATGACTTCTATTTTTTCTATAGATTCTAAGAAATCAATAATGCTTACTTTTTAGAGCTGTTGCAACACTTAATAAACAATCCAAATCCAAATCATGTACAATGACATGGACTTTCGCAAAGGTAACTAATTTTACTATCAATTATATATATATATATATATATATATATATATATATATATATATATATATATATATATATATATATATATATATATCCTCATGTGTATTTTATATTTAGTGCAACCAACAAAGGTTGAATTGGGAGTGTGGCTATTACATCTCAAAGTGGATGCATGAAATGGTGTTGTACAAACAACGGGGATTTCCTAAAGTAAGTAGTTTTTTTTAATTTTAAAACTAAACCTTAATTTTTATTAAATTAAGTATTTTGTATTACTTTGTATGTAGAACCTTTGGAACGATAAAACACCATTCCCGGATGCGGAGTTGGACGATTTTGTTGAGTTTTGGATTACATCTTTTGTAGAGAACTATTTGAAATGAAGGTATGTTACATGGTTAGTTGTTATTGCTATTATAATGGTCTTTTTTTATCTTTCGATTGAATCGAATTTGGAAATAAATTACAAAAATGTATTTTTTGATTGGATGGGAATGAATAAAAAAATCTTAATCTTAAATTATTATTGCAATAACAAGTTATTTATGTTAAATGATTCTTTCAAGCTACAAGTTAATTGTGTATATTGTCAATGTTTTCAACAGATTTGGAATATGCTATGGTAGTGACCAAGAAAACCTCAAGAGCTACATACAAAACGGGCTAGAATTGGAGATGGAAAAAATAAACAAATGTAATTAAGATTTTAGTTGAACATAACAATACGTTGTTTAGTTGATTTGCCTCATATTGAACATAACATATAGCTATTTCGTTTATATATATATATATATATATATATATATATATATATATATATATATATAATCTTGTATTGCAATTTACTTCAATTTATTACATTCTAGTGGATGATAGATTGTTGGCTGATAAATATGATAAGATATACTTCTAGTAGATACACCACTTATAAATAGGATATGATATACATACCATATACAAAGGTATATACGATACACCATATACAATAAGATACACCATATAGGATACATCAAGGTAAATAGGATACACCATATACAATAAGATACACCATATAGGATACGACAAGGTAAATAAGATACATCATATATGATACACCATACTATACTATACGAACAATGTACACCCTTGGATAACATACGGTTGTTTTAACCGTATTCTATTTCTTTTGTAATAGGATACACCCCCAATAGAATACAGATGATTATCCGTATTATATTAGCAAAAATAGTCGTATCCCATTCCATGTTTTCTAGTAGTGATTATCACTGTCCTCATTCCCCTTTTTATCTGTCTGTGTGGATAATGATCGAAATTATTTCTGATGTTGTCAGTCTAAACGCATGATGCACAGAGAAAAAAATAGACTAAGAAGTAGAATTGTGAAATGAAGAGTCATAAAACATAGTGTATGTTTTGCTATAATTATATTTTCTTTATTTCCTTTTATTAAATATAACTTATAACTTCCTGGTATATTTAGATTACACGAAGAAGATGTAAACTATATTTAGTAAAGGCAATAAACAAAAGTTAATTAATTAGTTGACGGGATACAAGGTTTTATGCTTCAACATGTTCCAATTCTATTTGGTCTGTCTACTCAATTTATTTTACATAATATAAATAAAGATTATTAACAAAAATGATTAATTATAATTATTATATTCAATTTTAAATAAATTTATGATGCAAAATTGATTTGTTTTTTCAAAATTCAAATCTAAAATAACAACTACAATTATCTAGTGTATTTGAGAAAATATGTTGATGGACTTATTAATCTATCACTTTGGTATCTTACTTAATCCACTCTAATTACTTCACGGTTATTTTCCCTCTCTTCACGGTTAGCATTGATTTTCATCATAAAGAAGCCGTTTAATAATTAATGTTCACATTTCATTTTACAAAGGAACAAAAGTAGAAAAGAAAACAAACCATGCAAAAACATAAACATGATGATGGACTTCCAAGTTTCAACACATTATGTACAAATTAAAGAAATATTAATCTCCTCAAAATTAACTTCACATAATAATATATCCATTACAAAAATAGACAGTAGTTATGAACTCAAATAATTTGAAAGCAAACAATACAAAAGACGAATCTAATCTTAAAAGTGATCATTTCTTTCATGACTATAAAGCAGCAGCGTCCATGTCTCCTAGCAAATACGGCATCAATCGGACCGGTGGTTCCTCCAAATCAAGATATTCCTCTAACTGTCGTCCACCTAATTTTGCCAGTTGATCCGCACAATGATTGCCATCTCTTCTTGTATGAATCATCGTGCATCTTTGACGGCGGAACCAGTTAAGAGCCAGGGGTAGCCTGTGCTACCCCTTAAACTCATCCGAGAAATGTAATTTTTTTTTTTTATGTTGCATCGGGGCTACTGGTAGATGATTAAGGTGATACTCCTTGTTGCAAGAAGATGAAGAATTAGACAAAAAATATTCATAACAGGTATGCTTTGCTTGAGAATTAATATCAGAATTCCAATTTGATTGTCTTTTCTAAGATCGAGGCTCAATTTCCTCTTTTGGAATCATCGTAACTTGAATTCTAATTCTAATTACTTGAATGCTAAGCTGGTGTTTCAACTACGTTTCTTGAATTGCACACAGTACACCTTAGAGTTTAAGCTCTGGTCATTTGGATGTTACACAACCAATCTCACCTAAACCAACCAACGAATTCTCAGTGGCCCACCAACTGTTTGATGAAATTCCTGTGAGAAGATGAAGGGATTGGAGTACACAATCATGATTCATGAGCCATGGATCATTCATAGGGATCTTAACTGCAATAATGGAAACATCCTACAGGTAGATACATACAGGTAAACATTGCACCTATTTCATTCTACACATAATGTTTAATCATAAAACTTAGATGCTTTCTATATGAGTTTTATTGTCTCCCAAGGTCTTATGATAACCTTTTTGCATCAAAGCTCCAAATAAGCCTTGTCTTGTGAACCATATGCTGTAAAGACCATTTTACCCTTCATGTTACCAAGCCAAGAACTTCTGGTATTGACATTATTAACCATAAAACTACATTGCCACGAGCATGAAATTTTGGTATTGACATTATTAACCATGAAGCTACATTGCTTGTATAACCAATAGCGAATCAAATTATTCATTTTTCCAAAACCATGTTTATTATAGTTGAGTGTAAGAGGTCATCTTAAGATCTTCCGTGGAAAAAAATTTGTGCTACCCCTAATATTTTTTCCTAGTTCCGCAATCTATCATAATCTTCTTCATAGTCCCCATAACAGATTTAAGCCGGTGATGATCATGATCTTTATCGAATTCTTGCACCCCAAGCATTAGAACCCCTTGGCAATCTGTCTCGATCAATACCTTTGACATATTCTTCTTTTTTATTAGACATAACCCTTTGAAAATGCTCCAAACTTCAGCCTCCAAACTTGTATATGATCTACCCTTCATTTTCCCGATATACCCGCACAACCATCTTCCATTACTATCTCTTATTAAACCCCCAATGCTTGATGGACCTGGATTCCCTTTTGAACTCCCGTCAGTGTTTAACTTGAGCAGATTATACCCTGGGGATGACCAGGTGGATTTCATAGCCATGATTTCTCTGTATAGATTCAGATTGCACTTTTCTTGTTGCTGAAGCAGAAACTCATGATGACAGTATGGGCATGATGGAGGCCGGAGATGAGGAGGGTGTAGATGGATACGACCAGCTGTAATCAGCATGAATAGTAAACCCATTGTAGTTTGCGTATCTTCGGTGAGATTCAACGATCTGCGAGTGAACAAGAAAGAAACTGATGTATCTGTCTATATGAGACTAGGGTACTAGGGTTCAGAGACTTTAAATATAGGACTTTTTTTACTTCGTTGCCAAGTTTCATGCAAAAATCCGAATTTTGAATTAAATATATTAATAATTTTTTTAATTAAATAAAAATTAATGACTTGCCTATCTATCTAATTTCTAACCGGTTATAGTTTTTACTTATCTAATTAATATATCTATCTAATTTTTAAGTACTTGTAATTTTTACTTATATAATTATTATTTTGAGAAATTTTCATAAAAGTCTTATTATTTTATTTTAATTTACAAATAAGTATCAAATTAAAATTTATTTACGAAAAAATATTAATTATCGGTAAAAATAACGATTTGATCGTTTTTTCCGGTTTATCGCTAAAGGTTATTGTCGTCGCTATAGCTTCCGTCGCTAAAGGGCTTCCACCGGCGATCCTCTTGTGCCACACGCCATTTGATCTGACCGTACGCTGCTATAGTGATCCATCTGTTAGGGTTTCATTTGGTGGGAAGTAATAGCGGCGACACCAATTGCGACGACATGTCGCCGCTGTTGATAGCGATCCGCGTGAATGTCATCGTGACCATTCAATTGTTTTTAGATCGGACGGCTACTAGGCGCCAAAGAATGGCGCATGTTTTTCCCTCCAACTTGTCATTGCTACTGCATCGGTTTCGCCGCTAAAGGTACCGTCCTTTTGACCACCCCTTCGTCCCAGACGACTCAGTTTCTACGTAACCCTCCCTCTCAAAAAACTCTGGCGACCAACGTCCTCTGCTGCGTTTTTCCGGCGTACTACACCAACACAAACCACCACTAACCATAGATTGCTTCTAGGCTTTCATTTTCCGGTGATTTCCGCCAATTTCCGGCGTTTTCCGGCGAATTCCGAGTTTCTCCGGCGACAATAAACCTCCGGTAAGGTGCGTTTTCTCTTCCCTTTTCTCTTTCTCTTGTTTTCTTACCAATATTTAACCCTAATTTCATTTTTTTGTGATTTTAAGTAAACTCCGGTGGTGACCACCACCACAGCACCACCGTTGTCACCATTTTTCGGCGACTGGTCGAATTTTCCGACCACAACTCTCCTTTTCTGGCAACAGCAGGTTCTTTTTCTTCTTCTTCTTCTTCTTTTTTCTGTTCTTAATGTATATGAAATGTATGTGAAATGTATATATTTTGGTATGTGAAATGTGTATATTTTGGTATGTGAAATCTAGATAAAATGTATGAATATGTATGTAAAATGTATATGCAAATGTGTAAGTGTGAATATGTATGAAAAAATGTATATGTATGTATGAAAAAGTGTATGTGAAAATGTGTGTATAAGTGTATTTCTATGTGAAATATATGTATATGTGTATATATATGAAAAAATGTATGTATATGAAATGTATGCATTTTTATGTGAAAATATAGGTATTTGTATGTGAAATGTATATATGTATTTCTATATGAAATGTATTTGTATGCATGAATAAATATATGTGAAAAAATATGTTTAAATGCATTTGTATGTGTGTATATTGTATGTTATGATAAAATATGTGTATA